ACACTGCCATATCTAGTATATAATCACAGAAAATAATGTTGACTTGTGCATTATTGCAAACTGTATATATGTGTAGGTTGTTGGGAATCTGTAGAGAAATCTATAAAAGGTCATTATGGCATTTGCAGAAAGTGGCTGGTTGCTGAAGAGGCAGAAACATGGTGCCTGTCGACTGAAAATACTCTTTCTATCAGAGCGTCTCGCTAGAGTTGATTGCTGGCTTCTGCTGCAGGCCACTGCAGACACATGGTACACAACACAGATGGTGAAGTAAGGCACCAACAGTCGCAGTCAAAACAATTATGACATTTGTGCCATGAGTTATATATTTTTTTTCAGGCATTACTGCAGCGGCTCCACACAAGTCACATTTAATTGTAATGAAGTACCACATACAGTAAGTGAATATCATCTCTTCATACATCACCACACTCATATTTGTTGATTTGGAAAAGCAAAATTGTGAATGACACAGAGCAGGATTCAGAGAATAATCCCCTTTCTGGTGCACAAAGGCATAACTTAAGCTGCTACAGTGAACACTAAGTCTCTCTCCAGCCTGGCATGCCTTGGACTCTTTCACACCCGAGTGGTCCAACTGAGATCACCCTGTCTCTTGACTCGACACAAACACATGTTTTCTAGAGGTACTACTGGAAAGATAGCAGGAGCAATCTATCAAAATGGAGCTGGCTGGAAGTCAGTCCAATCTCAAGGTTTTCCCCGCTCACTTCTTTATGTCACGAGGACGCATACTTCAGATATATACATAAAGGCAAGTCATTTTTCCGTATTATATACGTTTAATAAGCCTTTTTTGAGCTGAGCTGTTTGTCACTTTCTTCAGACAGAACATGCGACACAAATTACACAAATTAGCCCCACTCTCATCCTGGGTCCTCAATCCCGCTGAGATATTCAGAATCATGAGCCAACAGTGTGAATTGATGAAACAACAAAACGGGTCCTACATATCATGAAGCATATTCCTCAAAAACTCTGACTGCCACCATCAGTCACCAGCTGGGAAAGTGTAATGCGGAGCACCGTGGAAATGAATCAGCATTTCTTTGGTGTTGACAGGCTGAAACCAAAAGCTTTCAAAATCAGGCATTAATCCACAGTCAGAGTCTACACAGCACACCGTTCAGCAAAAAAATAAAAATAAAATAAAATAAAAAAGCCAGAGTTCATGCAAAAGTACAATCAAAGGTAATTATGACCAAGGTCAGTTGTGTTAAAATGAAAGTTTTGTTATTTTCATAATTATTATAACATATTTAGCATGCAGAAGTACTGAAACTCACTTTCTGATAAACTTGAGTAAAATACCACAGTTTCAAAGTATTCCAGTAACTTAAAGGGTGGTGTGTATTTTCAAGAGACAGATTGTCTTTTTAAGGCACAATTAAGTAACTATGTTAAGTTCAGTGTTTATAAAGATGCCGTAAATTATCAAACATAACTAAAAAGAAATGTGACAAATGGAAATTGGCCTCTGTCTCTTTAAGAAGCTCCTGCTCTTCCCAACATTCCGCCTTCAGTACACCATGCCTTCCCATTATTCCATTTACTACTTGGAAGCAACACTGAGGGCTTTCATGAGGGAATAACATTATGACATGATATACAACTTAAAAAGATGCTTTTACATACTACCACCCTCTTTAAAAAAATATGATGTAATCTAATTTTCTTTTAAAACAAGAAGATATTGATTTCAGATGATTACAACAACAATGATGCTATTCATATTATTTTTGAATGCTTATTGTTCAGCATGTTGCACCTTTTTTGTAGCTTCTGAACAGGTCAGAAACCTGTGGGAGTTATACTACGCTTCTTACAACGGAAAAAAAAAAAAAAAAAAAAAACTCTGTCCTTTTTTCTGACATTTCACAAAAAAAAAATAAATAAATAAACCATGAGTACAGTATTATACTGGTTCAGTCCTGAAACAGCAGCCTGCCAAATTCTTAGTACATCTAGATCGTACATGCCTGTTAGGCAGTGGCTGGTAAGAATTTCTTAAAGAATGTTAAACTTTACTCAGAATAGCACAGTTTCACACATTTTTAAACAAAAACGTTTTATTATGTCATTTCTTTATTTTGAAAGAACAATCACTTGTACCTCTCACTGCCATTAACGAATCAGATAGAATACGAAATATTGATTATTACAAAATCTATCTCATAGACAGACTGATAGATCTGTCCTTCTTTGAAATGCAGGGGAAATGAAGATCTAGCTTTCTGTCAGCTAACCAGCTGGATGCAGCTGCAGGTGGGGAAGGGGCGGGGCTGCACCAGTGATTATCTGTGCCCTCCTTTCCAAATTCATATAGAAGTTCACTTGATAAATCACCAGTATCATTTTTCATTCCTTGTCCTTTTATAGACCAATGATTAGCATAAAATTATTCTGTGACACATACCAAAACCATCACTACCAGGCACTGAGCAAGTACAATCATCAGACTTTCTTCTTTTTTTTTTTTTTGAAAATGTCAAACTAAAATTAGACTGAGACTTGGCTGCACCACATGCAATCTGTCTTTAACTTAATGTCATTGACCCTATAACATGAGGATCTTGGGCGGAAATTAGCAAAGAATTATTATTTGCATGAGTCCTTATTCAACATCTGAACAAAGAAAATTGCACATGTGAGCAACCAGCCCTAAATATTACTTGATGATTAACATCCCAGCAGGCTTAGCGTTGAGTGTGAAAACCCTGGGCAGACCCAGTTGCTCATTATTTAGACTCCTGTGGCTCTGTTTAAAAAAGAAGGAATATCAAAAGAGGGCTGATTGTTAAAATACACTTAGTTCAAGATTCTAACACATATGATGGTGTTGAGTGATGACAGCATAAATAACCGAGGTTTCATGTTGTTTTTCAAAAAAGCAAGAAAAAATAGATTAGACAAATGTGTCACAGGAGTAAAGATATAGCATATCACAATAAATTTATGGAGGAATGTTACTGCAGAAATCATAAATTACCCTTTTTGCCCGAGTAGTAATGCAAGAACAAAAACCATGTTTTGACACAGAAAAAAACCTTGGATAGATGAGTCACCGTTCACCCTGTTCTCTACCAGTGGTTGACTACATGTGTGTCACGCATGAAGAGAAATTCATTCACCCAAGTGCTCATTTCCCACAGTGAGGGCTTCTGTCGGGGCTGCTGTAGAGAGCAGCCCTAGTGTGGTTTGTCTCCATTCAGTTGCTTGGCAGGCAGGTAAATGCCAAACCTCCACGGCGTTTGTCAGGGTGATCACATTCCTTGTGTTCTGCTGTTTCTCTCCTGATGACTGAACAATTTAACAAGGTGATAAACTCGCAAACTCAAAGGCCGTGACAAGAACCGTCGTTGCTGCTGCATAAGCTCAGAACTCCTGTTTTCCACACTTAATGGCTGAAAATTCTCAACCAAGCAGAACACAACGCTTATTTCAGAAACTCGGCTGGCACACAACCCTTCAGCGAACTTCATTTTTTTCCCCCCAAGAACATTTAGGAGCTCAGTGTGGCTCCTCAGGTGGCCAATTGTCCTACTGAGAGACTAACAGGTGTGTGGTCCTAGTGTTAGTACTTCTAATTCGTCTATCTGGAAATCCGTCAGTGGATTTAAAAAAAAAAAAGAAAGCATCACTGAACAAATCCAATAGCCTATTTGTAAGAATAGGGTAGAAAATAAATTGTGACACATGTAATAACAAGATAGGAAGCATCTTCAGGCCCCAAATGGCAAACTATTTGTGTTTTCTCTCATTCTAAATTATAAATGTTCACATGGGTAATAAACTAAACCCCTGGCAGACTCATTTGCCTAAATACACAAAAAACTCACCTCACAATTCAGTTCTCAAAGAGGCAATTAAATCAGCTTTAAATGGAGATACTGCAGATTGTGTCAGCTGTGCTCATACATGCATGCAAATATCGTGGTAACCAGCCCTCCTCACTCAGAGCGTGTCCTTCATTTTACTGGCTGGCCGTAAAATCGCCAGATGTGAATATGGTAGGGCACACTTGAGGATCAGTCGGTTACGGTTTAAGTGGAAAGCTTTTGGCTGCAGCAGCAATTTCAGTTGCAATGTCAGAGCTCTAAATGCAGGACTCTCTTCAAGCCACTTCAAGCAAAGCATTTTCAGCACCACACACTGATGGACAGCTCCCACATAGATTTTTTTTTTTTTCTTTAAGGCAGCATTGCCAAAGCAACAATTCTAGGAGTTGACATTTTACATTTCAAAAAGCAACCTGTTCTTGTGGGTAACCTTCTCAAGCTGTGGTAGGGAGGGGTGGGCGTTTTGGGGGGGTAGCTTTTTTTTTTTTTTTTGCTTGAGGTGCATTACCCATGGGTGGCTTGACTAAGGTTTTTTTGTTTTCGCTACACGGTCAGGACGCAGAAGGACAAAACAAAATAAGATACAGTGAAATTTTGGGTGATGCGGGAGAAGATTTTTTTTTTTGTTGTTGTTTGTTTAAAACATGATTCGCTGCTCTTCAAACTCAAAGCGCCCTTCACATGGACCAGCCAGTTCACCTGGCCAATCCGGCGCCCCTTTTGCTGCAAACGTGTATGCTGAGAATACCTGAACTGAATTTGAATTACCATATGACGTAGGCCTTTTTCTATCAGTAATGTCTTACTGGCAACAGGGACTAATACAGACTCACGGTCTCTATAAAGCGCTCAAAGATTGAATTAGTTGCACCAGTTACCTCTCAGATCTCCTTTTCTTTAACGTTACATGTCTATATATCAGTCACAGCCTTTGAAACACAAAACAAAGCTCAATGTTGAGAGAGAATGCGACAGATTTTTGAACATTTCTACACAGACAGAATTAAGACGCAAAAAGTATATTTCTTGGCATGTAAATGGACAAGCTAAGCCCAAATCGGGAGCTTAAGTGGCGATGGTAGATAGTTCCGAACAACCGAAAAAGGGGATAAACGGAGCAAATCTGAATGAAATACTTACGCATTTTTTCGAATAAAAGAACTCGAGGGCGAGAGCAGAGCAGGAAAATTCATCAGGGCCCCCGACCACGTTTTCAAGATTTGCAGTACCACCGAGACACAAATCTCCATGTGAAAAGGGGGGCTGGAGGCTGCTGCAGTCCGCGTCTCTCTCGATCACAAGTCAAGATGCTCGCCTGCGAAAAACGCCAAACACTCTGAGAGTTGCGTTCATCTGCGGTGCGGTCACCATTCTAAACCCACAGAGGAGAAGCAGTAGCCTCCCGGACTTGAATGTATTCCTCTGGACCGAGGAGGAGGAAAATCCTGCAGAGTTTTTTATTTTTATTTTATTTTTATTTTATTTTTGTTGTTTTTTTTAAAAAAGGGGGGAGTGAAGTCCATATACAGGCCGCTTCTCACCCTAAAACAGCCTCCCAGGCGAATCCACAAAAATAAAATTCTGCCAAAAGAAAAAAAGAAAAACAGACACACAAAAAATAAAGTGAAAAAATAACTGCCAGTCAATGGCTTTCCCAAGTCAGATGTTCATTACTGCATGACAGTCAACGTTTACCTATTTAAAGCCTTGTGAATAAGGTCAGCGCAGCGAGAGATGGAGAAAAAAAAGCGTCCAACACAGAAAAACCTTAGAATGCCTATTGGATAAAATTGAGGATATCCGTCCCACTGCAACCATCAGACGCTCCGCATCAGGACAAATGGCTTGCCATAGGCTGCTCTGAAATTCGCAGAGCATATGGCACACAGCGTTTCTGTCAAGTAAAATGGGGAAGATTGTACGGAGTGAGATTTTTCATCCCCCCCACCCCCACGTCAAAGCCGTTCGGTGTATTGATCACATCGGTGATAATTCCGCTTGTCAGGCAGCGTGGGTCCAGTCCGCGCGGTTTAGGCTGCAACGTCCGTGTGTTGCAAATTAAGCGGCTTTTTGCCAGCGGCTCCTAATGGTCCCCCAGCTCGCTGCCGTCCATGACTTGAATAGCGAGCGCGCTCAAATCGTCTCCAGGCGCAGATCTGCCGTGCGCGCTTGTGACTCACTAGCGTGTGTGTCTGTTGCGCATGTGTTGGCGTGCACGCCGGTCCCCTTATTGCCCAGGGACCACTTTAACTTTGACCACTTTGGCTTCCCGTCTCGCTTCCCATTTAAATCACACAGCAGTCATTAATTATCGGGGATCAATAGCGTTAATGTATAAAGCACGGATCTGATGGGGTTGGAAATGCGCCTGTGTGTACCTGGAGTGCGCGTGCGCGTGTGATTCAGTCGTTGATGAGGTATGGTTGCCACCTACAGGCGTTATTCTCTATTCAGTCATCTAAAACGGACTATCTCCACAGTCAGCGTCCTCAAATAAATTCCCACTCAACATGTAGGGGTATTATCACTCCTCCGCTTTAAGCACTGACAGATGCATGTGCCCACCAAAATCAGAAATATCTATCATTTTATATCTTTAGTTTCAGGCTATGAGACCATTACATAACCTCTGCTGCCGTTTTTCATTATACATGGTTGCTTTTAATTACAAACATCCCATGCAACACATTTGGGCTGAAATCTGCTTTGAGACAGAGGAGAGAGAGAGAGAAAAAAACACACATAACAAAGGAAGAAAACTCACCCACTGCAAAGAGCACCAAGGCACACATGTTGGCGTTGCCCTGAAGGTGAGCTTAAGTGAATTGAAGATAGAGAGAAGTGAGTGAGGTTTCATTTGAACTGAGAACAGCCTGTCTCATTAGCAGACATAATGAAGCAAAAATCAGTCATGTGTTAGAACACCTCCTGGACTGTGAGGCCAATAAGGCCCATAATTCAACTGAGAAAGAGAGAAAGATTAATTTTTACCTGTCATAATGTTTCTGATCAACTAAAAATTTAAAAGACAGATGAGTGGGAGTTTTTGCACATCTTCACCAAACAAGTGGGTTAGCCTTCCATTTTTAAAAAAAATTGATATGAAAAATATATCTAATGGTCAGACGTCCTTACACTCTTTTCAGTTGTGGCACATTGTCGAAATGCAAAACTGATCCTCTGTCTATCCATACTCACTCAGTGGCTTTCAGACATGATGCCTGTCTTGAAAAGATTAATTAGTCATTTATAATTAAAACTACAAGTCTGATTAGATCTGTGATCCTTGGACTCTGTGATGCACCTGCTGCATTGTTATTTAATCTGCTTGGTATGGGGCTTGGTCGTTTGGCATTCTTATGCAAAACATAATCAGCTTGCCAACAACTGGTACCAGTTAGAAGATACATCCTAATTCACTTTTAACTAATTGTAAAACTGCATCAGACAGCAGATTCAATAACTATAGATTTGTTATGTAGTCATTTTTATCTGCTGCCCTCTTCTGTGTTGTTTTCTTTGTTTCAGATTCCTCATCTATGATGAGTGAAGTGGGATCATGTTTTAAAAGTGTTTTGTTATAACACGCATTCAGTAAAAACAGTTTGAGCAAAAATATATAAACTGGAAACAATGTAAAAACAAGATGAGTAACAGGTATTGCTAAAATAACAAGGACTGTCAGACATGAACACCATCCTCATGCTGGTGGCTGAAGAAAACATTGAAGAATATCAGACAGAATTTTATCTCTGAAAACAAATTTTGCATCATTCCATTGAAATCAGTTTATTTGCATAGAGTCATATTACTACAAATAATATCTCAAAGCATTCTGGAAAAGGTCCTTTTCACATACATGTCTGTAGAGTTCAGTGGAAATGTTGCCCCATATACAGATCTTCTCTGTTTTAGCTCCACACTAAAAAGTTTCCAATCACCAAACAAGTGATGATGTCAAAAATAGATCATCCAGATAAATACAAAAAGTAGTTTTAAAATTCAGATTTTATCCATTAAAGGAAAAAAATATATATATCCAAGGCAAACTGAACCTATATGAGGAAGTAATTGCCACCTAACAACTGGTTTGGCCTCCTTTGGGAGTGACAGCTGCTCTCAGTCATTGGCTGTGAGTGGTTGTGACTTTTTTTTATCAAGCTGTGAGGGATTTTGTCCCATTTTACTCTTTAGAACTTTTCATATTCAGACACATTGGGGGGTTTCTGAACATGAAGGAGCTATTTCAAGTCATGTTACAGGGTCTATATTTTATTTAATTCTAGATTTTGTGTAGAAGCTCTGCGGTGGACTGGCGACCTGTCCAGGGTGTACCCCACATCTTAGCCGAAATGTCTCGCTGGAGATAAGGACCAGCAACCCTCCTGACCCCACTAGGGACAAGGGTGTAAAGAAAATGGATGGATGGATGGATTTTGTGTAGAACTGCCCCAAAACTTTATTTTTTTCAATGTTGTTAAGTCTTTTTAAGGGGAACTTTCTGGTATGCTTCTGATAATTAACTTGCTGCAAGACCCAAGTATGTTTTAACTCAAATAGACTCTCTCAACTATGCAAATTGTCATGTAACCATTTATGCATACTATTCACTTTGTATGATTTTTCTCTTTATTTAATGGCATAATGTCACTTCTTGACATTATTTTTGCTTGCATCGCATTCAGTGATTTTATTTATTTTTTTTATTCTGCTGGTCTAACAGTGATCAAATCAGTGTGAGTTGTTGAAAATGTTACTTTATAGAATAGGGCACAGGTGTCAAACTCCAGTCCCGGGGGGCCCGTCTCCTGCCATGTTTAGATGTGCCGGTGCTCCACCACACCTGAACAGAATAATTAGGTCATTAGCAGGACTGTGGAGGATCTATCTACACAATTAGGAGGCAACTCAGCTGTTTGATTCCTGTGTTTTCTACCCGTGGCGCATCTAAAAACTGCAGGACAGCGGCCCTGGAGGACTGCAGTTTGACACCCCTGGTGTAGGGCATGGTTGGTTTGAATAGCTTTTCCTGTTTCAATTCTGAGTTTTTTTTTTTTTTTGTTTTTTTGTTTTTTTTGTATTTACTGTAGTCAGATTATGTTGATTTCACAATAACACTCTTTTTTCTGATTGGAAATATGGATCTGTAACCAAAACCAAGAACAACAGAAATCACAACAGAGGCAAATGTTATATTAAAATCCCTAAGAATCCATTTCAGCTAAAATTCAAATACATTCAGTTTATTTCAATCTGAATTCAAATTCAGTTTGCAGTTTACTTCCAACTGTAAGACACTGCATCAAAATTAGTTATTAACTTTCTAGCTATCCCTGCTCATGAGCAACAATTTGTCAGTTTACTTCCAGCTGTCATGTAGATGAGGTGGATTAGCAGCTAGCATACTAAACGACACCATCCTAACAGTTTCTGCTCCAGCAAGGCTAACTGTTACTTATATGGTTAATTGATATTCATAAATTGTTGCAAATGAATTGTGTGTTGTTTTTCACTCCTCCACTATTAAGCTAATTGATTTAGCCCTACAAGAAATATATTTCATTTGAATGTGATTCTAGAGAGTTGTTCAATGTGTACAGCTGATGACTCAAGGAGGATATATCATCCTTTTATAATTCTGTGGTTATGTAGAGTAGTTATCACTTGAGAGCTACTCAGACTGGGATCAATTTTAAATATGTTCCTTCATTTATCATTTAATTCTGACACATTTATATTGACTCATGGGATGATGTTTTTTTGAAACCTTACACCAATGTCACTGAACTATCATATGATTACGTACATTACAGTTTGAAGAACCTGTTGGGGCTTGATATATTGTATGTAGGCTGCTGTTGAATGCACGTTTGCATTGAATAGCTACTCTTTGGCAGGTTCTGTTTTGCAGCGTGCTTCACACAGACCTTTACCCATTTTAACAGATTACAGCCCATGGCAGTCTTCAGCATAACTAGCCATGGATGCCCATGTAAAGAGACATTAAGTACATAAGTGATGGCTAAGTAGAAGGAAGAGCTGCAGCAAGAGGTCTGATGAAAATTAAAAAGTGACATATTATTTTAATATAGCTTCCCATAATTGCTGTTAAATCCAGGATGTAATTTAAAATTCTCCTTCTCACATATAAAGCCCTTAAAAATCAAGCTCCGTCATACATCAGAGATCTTATAGTTCCCTATATTCTCTGTTTGAAGGTTTGCTGCAAACTCAACGAGACAATGCAAGTGACTTCCCACTGCAGCTGCTTGCACATCCAGGAAGAGTGAAAGCAAGTCAGTGACTCAGTGCAATCATCTAGTTTTATTAGATAGAAAACATTTGAACCAGTTTGAATAATAAATCAAACTTGACAACATTGTTTAATAACTAGGATCAAGTTTGAAAGTACTTACTTGATGTGGAATCGCTCTTTATGATTTGACTGAATTTACTTTTTTTTTGTAAAGTACCTTGAGATAACATGTGTTGTGAAAGAGAGCTATATAAATAAACCAAACTGAATTAATTTGAAATTGACAGAAATTAGCTAAAGCAACAGCTCCATTGAGAATTCATTCTTGTTTCCCCAAACTGAGATCTTTCAAACGGCTATTGACTGCATGAAAAAAAAGACTGATGATTGACTTTCCAGAGCACCACTTCAAAAGAAATCTCAACCACTTTCTAAAGTTAAAGTTTTTAGTTACTTAAACATAAAAACAGCTCCCTTACTTTCATGTTAGTTATTTTTATAGACGTCTGTGTTTTTTTCCAGAAACATAATTAAAAACGTAGCTTGTCAAAAAAAAAGCTAAGAAGCCGAGTAAACTGGGATCACTCATGATGTAATTTGCGCTGCATTGCATGTAGGTGCACACAGCTGATCCTTGTAAATGTTTGTATTAAGTTCATTTATAACTGACCTTATATCAAACCATCTTTCCTGCAGAGCAGTACATTTATGGGGTAATGTTACATAAGCTGAAAAAACTTTGCCTCTCCTGTACAAACAAGAATTATACATACGATATGCTGCACTTTCAGTTCTCAGCATTTTATTTATGCTTTGATGAAATATGAATTTTAAATCCCGGATCTCCCAAGGAGGAAATTTAAAAATAAAAGTAGGAGGGAACCAGGGAGAGGGTAGCATGCACTGTTTTTTTTTTTTTTTTTTTTTTACAAACTAAAACCTCAGCAGATCTGTTCAATCAAATCAACACCAAACTATTTACTGCATCAAATATGTACGTCCTCATTAGGATGCTTCATTCAAGGGCA